ACATAAACCCCTTAACTCTGCGGTCTAACTAATACATGTGACTATATGAAGCTTGCTTACTTAGGCCAATGTAAGAAGTTGAAAAAATCTGTAGAAAAAAATATTCCTGATGTGTTAAATATAATTAACTGACTACTCCCCCTTTTATCGCCAACGACGCAAATGCACGGTGCTGGACGACGCAAATGCACGGTGCTGGTGCTGGACGTTTTTCGTAATCGCCGTTATCTGGCGTTTGTTTATCTTAAATCTGACAAAATTAGACGTGCAATTTTGGTTTTTGCATCGAGAGTGGACTGAATTAAAATTATCATCTGCATCACGCGCGCGTGTCTGGCTACGGGTTATGAATTATTCGTCCAAGATACAGAGGCAGTAGATGCAGTAGTACTTGTACGTGCGTTGCTTTGCTCTCTAAGCTTGCGTTCACATCTACGGTCTTGGTCCTCGTCCTGAGACGTGAATCGAGGTGGAGGGCCGGCCACCTACGGAAAGAACGTCAAAGAGAATATCCGCACGTTTTGCGTCTTAGTGAGATTATTTACCCTGCAGTTAACGCGCGTCCGGTCACGTGACATTTAATCCACGTCAGGCAACGATCTCTGTGAGTTAATGCTTTGTCAATAGGAGGTCTAACAGCGTTAATGGCGAGACGCGTGTTAGAGAGATAGTATACCCACGGCACACAGACTAGCTGGGATCGATACGATACGTGTACCACACGGTAGATCTTTGCAGAGCGGCGCTCGGTGAGTGATAGTGTGTACTATGGTTATTTTAGTTACGTCTTACCTCAGGCAAGCGGCAGCTGCCTGGCAGCGAGAACGACCCGTGCCATTTGGCAGTACTCGCGCCACGGCGCACACTTCACTGCAAGCAAGGTATATCGCGCCTCACACTGATCTTTAACTAAACAGCGGAACGAGGTGCAGTACATCGCATTCCATTTATTGTTAATCGGGAAGTACGCTGCGCCAGTTAGTCCAAGGCGCACGACCCTAGTATAACAGAACGATACGATCAACGATAACGCACAGTAGATAGGAAGGTTTATGGCCGGTGAGTTGTGAGTGTCACTGTTGTTGTTCAGGTTACTCGGGCAGTCTCCAGCACTGCGTAAGTGCCTGTAAAGATACCATCCCGCGCTGCTTGTTGACTGGTGCCCGCTTATCATGGTCCGCTGCAAAACGAAGACAGGAATCGCACTAAGCAAGGGCCGCTCGTGGCAGCCTGCACGTAGATTAATTTGTCTACCGTGAACGGTTATTCCCCTGTACATTTAGACAGGGTGATGGGTGGAAGGAATCATCGTAATGTTTTCACTGTGTGTGCGGGCCGTTTATGCGACGCGGTGCATTTTATTGTGTGAAATCTACCTCGCTTACAGAGAGACTCCGTTGCCCTGGTATCTTTAGAATATCTCGGAGCCCTTGTTATGGAGGTTATAGCGTGAATTTAACCTGTGCGGGGAGGGTTATTTCGATCTCATGCTAAATTTGCCTATTGCTTTAATCTCCTTTTTTCTGTGCTTAATTCGATACATCGATGCGCTTTACAAACAGGCAAGTATTGCATAACCAGCATATTTATCAATACGCTGAAAAATATATCTATAAACCCATTTAAAAAAGTTCCTCGTGTGTATTTATGTATTATTTTGTGGTTAGCAGTCAATGATATGCCCCTTGGGCTGTGCATATTCATGGCATATTTGTACTGAGATCCGGTTGTGCACTCCAAAGTCTTCCCTCGAGAGCTCAAGAGTAACAAAGGACGCCAGGGGAAACTGATCTATATATTTACACGTCCGACGCGCCGTCTTCGTGTGTTCCCATTGACGCGGATAAATAAGACGTTAAAGCGGTGCTTTATAAATCTTTTTCAAAGGAGCGCATAGCACGAACGATTCTACCTCACATACAGGGCTCCATAGGAATTAATTTATTCATGGCATGTATGAATAGTGATTCAGTTAACGTACCCCGGGCCCCCGACGAGCATAAGCGGCATTCTGCGCCGGGGGTATTACGGTGTGTTATAGATTTCTTTTCAAAGGAGCGTTTGTCACGGCATTTACATAACGAAGACACGCACACCGTGATAAAAGAACTCGAGCGCGATAATCGATAAAGCAGACTGCGGTCGTAGGCCTGCGCACCCGGGTTTTGGTACACGGTAAATTAAGGGCGAATAATTAGACAGGAGATTGCTGGCGTGTGTTCATCACTTGTGAGCTTGCCAGCGGTTTTATTCTCAAAATATATGAACTCGTGGCTAACATTGTACTGCACATATGTATGTATGTAGGTATGTATGTATGTATAGTAGGCAAGTCTTTGTGGCAAGTTGTGTATTTGTCTATGTACGTAGTAAACATCAGACTGAAACACACGTGGAGATAAACGAGGTAAAGTTACAGCTTATAAGAAAGCGGGAATGTGAAGTGTTTGCTTTGAACTAGCGACTGATAGGCACGACGTGCCGTTGAAAGGGAAAAAAGCGCAAAGAACAAGAAAGCACTAGTGAAGCTTTACCTGTACGCAGTAGGGAATGGTTTCGTAAACACTAACATTGTTGGCATTGACGTGTATTTTACACTTTGTCACTACCTATCCAAATCGTCTCCAAGTGTTAAATGCTAGACAAAAGACCCACGCTCTTGCGTAACTTAACGCGGCCGCCTTGATATCTTTGAAAATAAGCGGCTCTTTCACGAAAGCGCTAGCCTAGGTCTATTTTAAATGTAAATGTAATACGGGCGTATGTAGAAGACTTACGTTACTCATATTCCATTTATAAGAATTGATCGATCGAGAGTTTCTGACGTACTTTGACTGGCGGCGTCGACTTGAATTGCTTCCCGATGGTATTTATACCACTGGTGCGAAACGTTTTGGCACGGTAAGCGCGTGCCAGCGATAGCTTGCTGTTGTCTTCGGTGCGCTTTTTACCTACGGGGATTTTTTTTTTTTTTTTTTTTTTTTTTTTTTTTTTGTGTGTGTGTGATATCGCAGTGTAAACGATAAGGCTTCCACCGTCTGCTGCACTCATTGCAAATGCAGGAAGTCTAGCGGGAGAATTACCGCGTAAGTCGTCTTAATGTGCCGTTGTTATTTTGACATTCTTGAAGAATTATGGTGGAGGAAAAATGCACATGTATACTTATTGATTGGGTTGAAATTTGAATAACGGGTGCATTTCATGGAGAAGAGCGTGTATTCGTTATGAATGCTGGTTTAGTAATTTTTTTGTACATTGTGCATTTTTACAATGGCCGTGGCCTTAGAAAATGTTTTGTAACTGCGATACTGAAACCACAATAACAATTTTAAAAAGTTGTTTACACAGATGGGGGAAAGGCGTCACGTTCTGGCCCACTTTTCAAAGCCTCACAAACAAGGCAGAAAGAAAATGTCACGGTTATGATGTCAGGCGTCAGAATATCTTTATGTGACAGACAATAGAGCTCCGCATTTAGAGTAGTGTGGAGGTCATTTGAATGGAGAAATATAGAATCTTTTGCGTCACCCTTGTGTCTCGGTACAACACTAGACAAAGGGGACCCGGGTAAAGTCAAGTAAGGTTATATGGCGTCGGGAATCTTTTTGTCCGAAGTGAACCTGCCACAGTGCGTGATATTACTACACAAAGTTGCACTGGCAATCAGTTTAGAATTACTGCTCTTTTTTTTTTTCTTAACAAGTCAGGGACGACCTATAGGCCTAACGACGTGCGCTGAAAACGCCTTTACTTGTTACAAATGAAAACCATTTATGGCGTGTTTCGAAAGCGAAGCTGGGTGATCTGTCCACGAGCGCGAGGCTTGATTGCTTGACTTAGTTGAGAAATATGAAATTGATGCTCCGCTGATAATTAATGGGGAAAATCTGTTTGTAACTCGTCCTTTGCGTGCCGAGCATTCTCCTGGAAGACATTCATGAAAAATGGATTATCTGTAGACAAATCCCAAGCTCTGTTCGAGTCGCAACAAGATCCACTGTCGGTAATGAGTAAAGACGACGGAGTTGGCTGAGAAAGCAAATAACGAAACGCGTGCGTCACGTTTGCGTCAGCTGTATTGTCTTGCCTCGCATTCGTAAATAAAAAAACCAGCATTAAGTCGGATCGAATATAGGACAGAAGCTACCTGATGTGTATTCAAGTTGCGTAAGTCAACACGTTGCATTTCTCGCTAGGCATGTAGCATGATATGTATGTATATATAATTTTTTTTCGCAGAGGACCCGTAATCTTACCTAACCGCCTTCGGTCTATTTTTGGAGAAGACAAGCAAATGATTGATCATTCCAATGCAGTAAAAATGCTTTCGAGATAGAGCAATTATGGAGTTAAAATAGCGTTTAGCGTCACAGTCTACCGAAGCGAAGGGGAAGCGAAATACTTAGCGTTAATTCAAGGCATTATATATCGTCAGAATAGAATGTACTGACAAGTCTGGAAACGCAATGACAGCGATCATTAAAGAAGCATTACGCGTACGTCGTATTAATTTGTTGATGAATTTTTTATATCCAGTGTCGCATCCCTTCATTAACCATCTCCCCCCCCCCATAAAATACGAGCACGATTTCACCTGTGGTATTTCAAGACAGCGGCAACTCCGTCTCAAATATTCGTCCAAATGAAGTCGTCCACTTCGTCGCAGTTTTTACGGTTCAGAGTTCCCAGCGACGGTCGTGCAGTCCAAGCTGTTTACTTCTTTCTCGAGTTGTCTGCGATATCGTAAGCAGATAGCGTTAATTAAGCGCGATAAGCAGCTCTGATGTGAACCGCAACTTGGCGACATTTACTTCGCGTGATAAGCCAGCTTAATGCCGAATTCAGTTAATGAGATCCCGTGGGTGCGAATCGGATATAAATAATGAACTAAGCTAAAGTAATTTCGTCAATTTCAATTGACTGTATAAATTCCTGGAATTCATTTGCGTTTGATATGGACAAGGTCATTCTAATGAAATGTATTTTCTTATTTATTACAGACGATGTACCGAAGACCGCCTTTCTACGCAGTGCCGGCAGGAGGCGCACATTACCCAGCATCCCCTGCACAAAATGGCATCAAGAGTCCGCCACCATTTCCAAGCAGACGATCGCCCGGAGCGAATTTGTTTGACAGAGCACAAGGTTTTTATCACGCAGGTTTCACCGCACGTCAAATCATGCCTGCTACGGCTGTTGCTATGGAGGAGCAAGCTCCCCTGGATTTATCCAAACCTAATAATAAAACTAAGTCACCACGCGAAGTTTTAATAAGAGATGTCGACAGCCCTTTGGATTTATCAGTAAAAACACGTAAAAGAAGTGCAGATACGACTGACAATGAAAATGACGATGACGTCATATTTCTCAAAGAGGAAGGCCCGCCTCAAGCCAAATATGCAAAGGACGAACAACACACTTCACAAGCTTTTAAACTGCAGAACAATCTCAACATCGGGAGTCCGAGGCGAACATTTTGTAAAAACAATGGTTATCTCATGTCGCCCAGTCCTGTGAAAGAGCCGCCACTATACACGGGGACTTGCACTCCCGGGAATCAGGTAGACCGAAACCCTTACGGTTCTCAAGCAGATGTTACGAGCAATCAGCATTCGCCGCTTGGTCGTCCCAAGTTCATGCAGCAGATCATACCTACAGGCACGCGAACTTTTCAACCGCAGTCACGGCCTGTAGGGGGCGTGACAAATATAAACCCTCATTCTCAGCCCGGTGCTAATAAGATACCTGGGTCGACTGTTCACATTCCTACCAGTGCTAATAACACAATCTCTCCAGAGAGACGGGCGGTGAACCGTTCAGTGGCACCCTCTCACGGCAACCTAACTCCTGGCAGACCATACACCTCTAAAACAGACGCCACCTCGCACCGGACAGTAAGCCCCGCAGCCTTGGATGCATTCATGGCCCTCAGGCAAAAATCTACGGCCATGTTTCACCGCATCAGGAAATGAATGGTAAAGCAGCGGCAAAACAGTTAACTGGGTCACCCGAGAAAAATACTTTTCAAAATGTTCACGATGCTGGGGTGAGGCAGTGTGCCACTCGTTCAATTGGTCAGATTCCACCAATGCCGCCCTTGATCAAGGTGTCGCCCTCTGCAGGGCACAATGAAGTCAGCGGGACTTCTTTACAGCGATACCCTGCAAACGGCGGACACACAGTCGCTAAAATGTCGCCGTCCCCTTCTAAAGCTGCGCCGGAATATCAGACAGTGCCTAACCACCACTATGGAGCTGTCCAAAGCCGCAAGGGGACCTCGGGGCTGTACCAGCAGCATCAGGTACCCCCATGTTGGAACGACGTCGCACACGCAGTCTGTGTCTCAAATAACAATGCACCATACCGGAACATTAGCAGCAGCTCAGGGTTTGTCGCAGATACAACGTGCCCGGATGTCCGCCCCATTGCCACAGTATAACAGATCGCCCCAACGCGCCAGAACCCAACAGACAACGCAACAGAACACTGCGCCACAAAATCAAATGGTCGTGCAAGAAAGATCATACCCGGAAGTAACACACGTTCCGAACTCTCGCGCAGATCTCGTAGGAGAACCTAGGGTGCATACGCAACCTGCTCAACCACACCACAGGTTCAATCAATATTCCGATATCATGGCAAAGAATATTACTCAAACAACAGAAAAATACCAATTTCCTTTAAGAACAGTCACAAATGCTACAACAGCGGAGCTTGTAGGGCAGCCGAGGGTAAAACAGTCGCTGCCTGACTACAAACTCGGCCAGGTCCCCGATTCAACAGCTCGGCATGAAACAACAGGAAAACTGTCTGAATATTCCGCAGACACAACGCATGTGCTCGCTTCAAGGGCTGTCTTCGCGTATCACAAGGCAGCAATGCATTACGCAAAATCTAAAATGGCTGCAGGTACACTGCAGCAACATTCATCTGCGTCGATCGAGATTACATCCGGGCACTCCGTTGACGCAGTAAAATCTGGGCACCTAAATGATACATCAACCAGCCATTTTGGCATCTCTAGAGAAAATATGCCGTCGCTAGGCAACCAGAAGCAGGCGAACAGCAACAATACAAATTGTACAGGTCGAACGACTGGTCAGCCGGCGTTCGGACATCAAAGGTCAACTGTCACTGCCCTTCCAGATAATAACGCCAACATGCGCGTTCAAAATGATGACACTTACCAAGCGGAATCTACAAAAGCAGACAACACACGGCCTTTATCTAAGAACGATGGCGTTCCTCGGCAACATTCTCTTAAAGAGGACTTCATCCGGGCCATTAAGAAATATGAGGTATTTAATGTTAACCCGCTGGACGTGATGAAACTGCGTAACGCCTCGGAGTCCGCGCACAGTGGTAGTATAGTTAATGGGACCCCGTGGACACCTGCGAATAAAACTGAAGCAGCTGATGCTGCAACAAATGCCGCAGAAGGTCCGACATCTGACTCAATACGCACTCGCAGCAAAAAACAACGGTCTGACAACCAAGTGCTTGTTCCTGTAAGTCAGACATCGGGTGCTAAAGTAGTTCAAGGTGCAGTGGTCTCAAATCACTTCAGCACCAATGAGTCGTGCTCTAGGCATGAAAATATTGCCACTCCTACGTCTATAGCCTTCCTCCCTTTTCAAATTACACATCCTATCACGGCAAATGTTTCTAGAGCAACCCATTCATACACCTCTACTCATCGTAATACGGAAAGGCAGAATCTTTCGCTTTCAATCGACCCGTCAGGACAGTCTTTAAGCGGTAGAAGTGCTACTGCAACCTCGGCGGAGACCTCCGCCGCCTCGAGTGTTACGTCATCTACGTCATCAAAGGTAACTCAAAGCGTTTTGCGTGATACTTCGTCCACCTCTGTCACACCACTGTCTTCAGTTCCGAATCTTTCGGCGTTTATGCCAACCGGACAGGGCAACAAGTCCCCGCCATCACCAGTTCGGGATAGCCATCAAGACGGGCCACAGACTGTGGTGCCATCTACCCGGCCAGCCTCCATGCTGCAAGCTATAGAGCAGAGTGCGCGCGCCGTCACGTATCGGGATTACAAAAAGCCCACCCCCGTTACAAGTAAGATTGTTAATAACAAGGGGTCGAACAAACCAGGAAGTAGTAACAGGCCTAACACTCGATGTAGGGCTCCTGCACCATCTGGTGAGTGTAACGCAACTGATGAAGACGAGCTGATCAAGTATCGCTCTTCCCTTCGCATGCCCCCACAGCTGTTAAGAACCAAGATGGCGCCTAATCCAGTTCGATCAAACACAGCAGGAGTTGATAACAGCATAAAACCTTACATTTCGGTGACCAAAGCATCTGTCAGTCCGGCAAAATCGGATCCTGGGAACAGCGGTAGATATGCTGATAGCAACACCAAGAAGGAAACTGGAAATCCGATTAAGTCAGAACCCATAAAGGGAGAGTTATGTAATAAAGAGACCATGCTGTCAGAAAGATGTGGAAATGATGCTGGTAAAGATTCGGTGCAAAGTGACGTTTCAAAAATGACCTGTATCAAAGGAGAACCAACGACAGAAACGCAGGAATCGCATTCCCCGAAAGGCTCCGCAATCCAGACCAAAAGCCCAAATCGAAAAGGGAACCGTAAGCCCGGGAACCGCAAAGATACTAAAGTGCAGCCGAAAAGGAGACCGAAAGGAGAAAAAGCGAAATGTAAAGCTGAACTGCTACAAACGACAATTGACACGAGAGAGTTTTCGGAGAAATTTGTGAAAACTTTTGGTCGCAAACATTCACAGGGACTGTTCGAAACACTTTCAAAATCTTTGAATGTTTCCTCGGCGTTGAATGATAATACTAGCAATGCGCAATCGAATCAAAGTGCATCTGGCAAAGATGTAGCAAAAGTGTCTCCAGGATCACGTACAGAAAAATCACCATCTCCCACTGACAACTCAAAAAAGGATGACATTTTGACTAATGAGGAGATAAAAAATATTTGGTGCAGAATGAAGATGGAGAAGCAGCAAGAGAAAGAAGTAGGTGACACGTCCAGTGTACTTACGAACGAACCTCCAAAATCTGTGACAATATCTCCAGAAAGGGACGATAAACCAGAGTCAATAAACGCAAAACGAAATTCCCCGAAAACTATGAAATTTACGACTAAGAAATTTTCAATGAACTTGAAGAAATTGTCGCCGCTCATGCGCAAAGCGTCTCAGGCCCTCATGCAAGAGATGCAACGCAGGGGTCACTTGACCAGGATGAACGGATCTTCCGGTGCAGCATCTGGTAAGAAATCCCCGAGATTAAGCCCAAAGAGGCCAAGCACGCCAATTAAATCAAAGTCTCTACGAGCTGAGAGCCCTTTTAACTCTTCACCTCGGGAAAGCCCTGTTAAGATGGAAATAGAAGAGAACGAATTAGAAAAGAGGAACACTATCGAGCAGACAGCTCAAGAAGAAACGAAACCGGTGCCGAAGAAAGAGAAGGAAGCAACACGACCCATTTTACAAAGGAGAGGACGACAGCTCTTGCGCAATCAGGACTTTGACAGCGAATCTGGCTCGCGGGATACGAGTCTCGAGTCGCGTGACACGAGCTTGGACTCTCAGGGCCGCCCGTCAAGTCGCACGCGCAGGACGCGCATGCTCGAAGAGATTGCCAACACGGACGGTTTTGTGGCAGAACGCAGGGGCCGGAAAATTGAGGACCTGTTTGCTCATCCGTCTGAGTTGGACCGAGAGGCAAGGTGGTTGCAGGTAAATTTTTGGTAGAGTGAGGCATATGATAAAAAGTTTGTCGTTTAAGGGCCCTATTAATATCGAGCAGTACACTTAACTGGCCCGGATGTTACCTAAGAGAGTCACTTAAACAAAACCCCCTGCACTGAACATGGTCAGTTTATAAGCTTACTTAGGCCGCGTTCTGATTCAAACATCGTACCATGTTGATCGATCCAACTTTGCGAGGGATTTTCACGAAAGTGCATTCAGAGTAATCAGTTTAATTGTCAGACATGCCCCCTCAGTAGCTAGTGAATTAGTTAATTACCCCCTAGCAACTAGGATGTGTCAGACATTTAAGCTGATTACAGTGACTGCACTTAGGGAGAAATTCTCGCAGAGTTGGATCGATTCGGCTAGTACGATGTGTTTATCTGAGCGCTCCCTTAAAAAGTAACTTGTGAAATAGAGTAGTGCCTCCTGTAGAGTGACTGGATGTTCGGATCTCTCAAAGTGGACCGTTCTATTATATGTACCACTCGATATAAAATGGGCCGAAATTGTCTACCTATTCTTCATGTTTAGTTCTTTCAACCTTACTTAGGCTGTATTCCCAGAGCTTTTAGATCGATCTATCCCCGCGGGGAGTCTCACTAGATTACTGTCAGATAATCCGGCTTAAATGTCCGTCCCGCCTACTACAAGCTGTAAGGGGCTAATTAACTTTCGTGTCCGTTCGGCTGACAGCTATTTAGCGTGAACCCCCAGGGAGTTAGGTCTCTGGAAATGGGGTCTTAGACAAATTCAAAGTGAAAATGAGGGGCGAATTCAGATAGACCCATCGTACAAACTGGGTCGGTCTATTCCTGTGGGGAATTCTCTCGATTTCCACTCAGTAGAATCAGCTTATATGTCTGACAAATCTCCTTGAGCAGCTAGGGGGTAATTATTCTTCTCGAGTAGTACGATGGGTCTATCTGAATGTGGTCTTAGCAATAGTTTTTTGTGTTCAAAAGGAAGAAAAAGGTCGGGATTATTAGTTAAAATCTAGTACCTCAGTGTACGGTGGTGTAAATATTGAAGAGCGAGAAACTCAAATGATGCCGACGCCAACACGTTTAAAAACGCATCGATCCGATCTATCATGGCACGATTTATCAAATATTTAAAAGTACTTGCCTACATTTTAAAGCACTTGGCCACACTGGAAAGCGAGCTTTAATCGATTGTCAGAGAAAATATCATCCAGATAGACGTAATGATTTTGTTTCTTGTAACCCTATAGATCGGTGTCAAGTAATAAATGCCTCTGCAGGCAAAGGAGCTGATATCAAGTACAGGATATTTATAATTAATGAGAACTTTGCTCCAGCGAGACAAAAACTCGTCCCTATTATCTGTTTCCTTGTTATCAAAACTGCGCAGTTACTTTTGATTTGCGCCATAATTGATGTACTTTTGGAATATAATCAAGCTTATTCTGGCGTTAATATTCTCATGTGATAAATATAAAAACCGTCAGTTAATAGATGCGGGTAAATAGTATAAGCAGGTTTAAAACGTATGCTTTCACAGACAGTAATATTTTGTCTCCCAATCCACGCCGTGCTTGATAATGTATTACATTCTGGATTAATTGTTTATCGATTGGTTCAAATGTTTCTGTGCTGTCTCGCAGCGGGCCATGATGAAGTTCACCGAAATGGAAACAAAGCCGGACGGAGACGACCTCACCGCTTCACGGCGCAGGAGGAACCCGAACGCTAGTGCTCTCACCAAAGCTGCACAGCTCCGGCGACGCGCGTGCAGGTTTACGAATAAATCGGGTAAGGAAGGCGTTGAGTTCAACTTGAATTAAATACTGACTTCTGTGGAAACGGCGGTGTGTTGTTTACGATTATGTGTGCTCGTTACAAGATGATAAACGTCCTGTCAGCATAGTGAACTTACAGTACTCTGTGTTGTTGGAATGAAAACAAGTGTTTTGCATTTAGTGCAGTTTAGGCAAAATGTTATTGTTAATGGGGGTGAAATGCTTTTTTGTTGTGTTTGTTTAGGCATAGGGTAAATCTGCGACGCCCTAGCACTAATAATAAAAATAGATGAATAAATTAATATTCAAACAAATAAAAATGAGCAAAAATAAAGAGTAACCTGATCAGACTGTTTTATCGGCTCTGCCATTCAAAAGCAGTTGCAGTTTACTCGTAACTGCCTTCCAGACGTCGTGTTTTAACGTCTTTCACTTCCTCTTCCAGGATTAACTCCACAGAAATTCTCGGACTTTAGTCCTGAGATCCTGCCGACAAGGACGCGAGGAACAGGCCTAGGTGAGTAGTGCGATCTTCGGAAAATTTGGAAACCATTGACCACTTAATCTTGCGAAAGTGTTGACGCCACAGTGTCCGGGGAGGGGGGTCAATCAGTTGTCGAGTCACTAGATCCTTTATCGGGAGGGGGGGCGCTGCCGTTGTGCTTAGTGGTGGGGGAGGGGGGGAGGGGAGCGACTACTCTCTCAACCCCCCCCCCCACACACACACACACACAAACAATTAGAAGAGAATTATGAAGTTGACAGTGGTGCAAATTTTCAAAGTTGCTTTCATCCGGGAGATTTGGTTACCTGTACGGAAGACTGGGAGATTTGTTCTGTATCGGGGAGAGTTGACATGTATGAATTTCGATCTTTGATGGTTAAATTATTGTTGTTTTCATGTACCTACATGCGATCGTATAATTTTATCTGACTTGCTTACACGCATCCTTAGTCTATTGCTAAGCACGTGCCTGCCGTTCTGCAGTAAGCGTGCGAGCAATACTGTCTTTATGTAATTTTTCAAAATCCTTTATCGCAGAACGAATCCGACGACGAAGCTATAACAAGAATGCGGCCTACGAAGCTGAGCTTTCTCGGGAGGAAGAACGATTGGAACTCAAGCGGGCCAACCGTCAAGCGAAACGAAACCGAGAGCAAGAACAGTCCAAAGAAAAAGAAAAACTGGAAACATCTACAGAAATGTCGGTGGATGAGGGTGATGAATCGCAGGTGGACGCAGACGACATTTCCCCTGTCAGAGGGAGGCGAAAGAAACGCGGCGGGAAACAGTCTACCGGAAGTCGTGGCAGCAAACGCACGAAAAAAGTTGAGGTAAAGATAGATTACGCAGGATGTGAAGACGCGGACACAGACGAGTATTACTATGAGGATAACTACGCATACGAGGGGGTGTCGGAAGACCTGCCGTCTCATCTGCATGACGAGGTAAGACAATCATGAATGCACTGTCAAGGAATTTCGGAAATAGTAGGCCTATAGTTTTCAATCAAGTGAAAAACGGCCAAAGGACATAACATCGAAATATCACATAAATGCGATTTTTAATCATAGATTTGAGGCTGTTGAACGTGTCACTTTGTTTTCTAAAAAAAATAACGAGTGAGGAAATGCAAAAAGAACGTCAATGTAAAAAAAAAAATCAGTGTGGCCCCTCTTGGGCATCACGGAGCCACCTATCGTTTTGTGATGTAATAAGATAACGATAATCGAAACTGCTGCACTCCCGTTTTCGCAAGCCTACGCTATCCCAGAGTCAAAACGATATACCAGACCGTGCTCTCAAATAAAACCTCTCCATTGCAGTTGAATGACATGATTGACGACGGCACCACACAGAGCGAGGAACAGTTTGACAAGCCAGCCGAGACTAACGATAGCTGCGCCCAGGACCGCCGCACGCCTCCGCTGTTGAAGAAGTTGACGTGTAGTAAAACCTCGGGAGAAACGGTTCTTCACCGAGCGGCGAGGATGGGGTACGAGGTA